TTGTCCATTTGAGACTCTTCTGTTGAGAATTCTCTGTTTAGACCTATCCCCCATCTTGAAATTGGGTTCCTTAGTATTTTGATGTCTAGTATCTTGAATTCTTTTTTTTTTTTTTTTTTTTTTTTTTGATTTTCGAGACAGGGTTTCTCCGTAGCTTTTGGTTCCTGTCCTGGAACTAGCTCTTGTAGACCAGGCTGGCCTCGAACTCACAGAGATCCACCTGCCTCTGCCTCCCAAGTGCTGGGATTAAAGACGTGCGCCACCACCTCCCGGCTCTTGAATTCTTTATATATTTTGAAGACCAGTCTCTGTCAGATGTGGAGTTGGTGAAGATCTTTTCTCATCCTGTAGGCTGCCATTTTGTCTTGTTGACCATGTCCTTTGCTTTACAGAAGTGTCTCAGTTTCAGGAAGTCCCATTTATTAATTGTTGCTCTCAGCGTCTGTGCTACTGGTGTTATATTTAGGAAATGGTCTCCTGTGCCCATGCATTGAAGACTACTTCCCACTTTCTCTTCTAGCAAGTTCAGTGTAACTGGATTTAGGTTGAGGCCTTTGATCCATTTGGACTTGAGTTTGTGCATGAGGATAGATATGGATCTATTGGCATTCTTCTCCATGTCGACATCCAGTTATGCCAGCACCATTTGTTGAAGATGCTTTCTTTTTTCCATTGTATGATTTTGGCTTCTTTGTCAAAAATCAGGTGTTCATAGGTGTGTGGATTAATATCAAGGTCTCCAATTCGATTCCATTGATCTATGTGTCTGTTTTTATGCCAATACCAAGCTCTTTTCTGCCCATGTTCTGAGAACGGACATGAAGCTGAATTAGAGCGTGATGGACTAGCTTCTTTGGCGGAGGGAAATTTCCAGATAGCCTAGCGTTGGCCAAGTCTGCGGCTTGGCTATTTCTGATAATCCTGATGTAGCTCCACAGATAATAAGAGCAACAAGCAGGGCTGAAAGAAATGAAAACTGCAGTTCAGAGGTGAAAAGAGCAAGCAGGAAGTTGAAGACTGAGATTAGCACCACAGAGGAGAGGCCTCCTCTGTTACAGGGACGTGGGGGGGGGGGAGGGAAGGGGAGGTGCCTTGGGGCATGGACCCAGCCAAAGCTCCTGTGAGCAAATATTCAAATGCATGAACCTTTGGTGATGTTTCTCATTTAAACCAGCCCAGGGACCTGCTCCTACAGTCACGTGCCCTCCTAGAGCCCAGAATGTGTGTGTGTGTTTATACACACACACACACACACACACACACACACACACACTTAATTTTTAAATTTCACTTACATTTTAAGCTTTGTTTGATATATTTTTCTCTTTTTGAGACAAGGTCTCAGGCTGGTGAGTGTAAGACGTCCTTGAGTGTCTGGTCATCCTGCCTCCACCTCCTCAGTTCTGGGAATATAGGACTAAGTCCCAGCCTCGATTTGTGAGGTGCTAGGAATTGGATCCAGGACTCCATGCATGCTTAGCAAACCCTTTGCTAGCTGAGATACATCCTCGGCCCCAAGCTTTAATCAGTCTTTCAATCTTGTAAATCGCATAATTTGAGCAATGTGTGCTAGCTGGTTTTATGTCAACTTGATACAAGCTAGAGTCATTTGAAAGGAGGGAAGCCTCCATTGAGAAAATGCCCCATAAAACCAGGCTGCAAGCATACCATAATTTTAATTAGTGATTGATGTTAGAGGGTTTAGTCCACTGTGAGTGAGGTCACCCCTGGCTGGTGGTCCTGGGTTCTATAGGCACTCAGGCTGAGCAAGCCATTTGGAGCAAGCCAGTTAGCAGCTCCCCTCCATGGCCTTGCATCAGCTCCTGCCTCCAGGTTCCCGCCCTGTTTGAGTTCCTGTCCTGACTTCCTTCAGTGATAAATAATGGATGTGGAAGTGGAAGGCTTCTTTTCCTCCCCAACTTTTCTTTTGGTCGTGGTGTTTCACCTAATTAAGACAAGTACCAGGAGTGGGGTGTTGCTGTGACAGACCTGGCCGTGTTGTTTGGGGGAGGACTGTGGAAGGACTTTGGAACTTCGGTCTAGAAAATCCATTGAGTGTTGAGAGCTCAGTGAGCTGTTCAGTGTGATCTTCCTTCTGCTGGCTGAGGTTTATGTCCTGTCCGAGGTTCGCATAGTTGTTAAGTCCCAAAGAAATCACACAGAGGTCTACATTAATTATAAACTGATTGGCCCAGTATCTCAGGCTCTTCTTATTAACTAATTCTTATAACTTAGAGTAGCCCATGTTTCTTATCTATGTTAGCCAGGTGGTTTGGTACCTTTTTCAGCAAGGCAGTCACATCTTGCTTCCTCTGTGTCTGGGTCACAACTGCAGACTGTACTTCCCTCTTCCCAGCATTCTTGTTGCTCTGCCTCTACTTCCTGCCTGGTGGCCCCACCTATATTTCCTGCCTGACTATTGGCCAATCAGCATTTTATTAAAAATAATAACAAGCACCAGGATAAAAGACCATTGTCTTGGAAGACAAAAGCATGTTGAGAACAATGTAGACGCTAGAGACCGTGTGAAGTTTCAGAGGTAAGCAAAGATGCTACTGGGCCTTTTGTGAAGAATCTGTGGTTCTGGTTATGTGGAGCTGAAGAATTGGCTGTGATTAATAAGAGATCAGAAACACTAATGTAAAACCTTTACTGGGAAAATTGATGCTAGCCAGCGAGAGCTAAGAAGTTAGTGGTTCCCTAGGAGTCAGCACACAGAAGCTGTGTTCCAGAGGTGGCCAAGGTTTTCCCTCGTGCTGGCAGCTGAATTTGGTAGTCTAAGGCTCACCCAGGTGGTACTGGTTTTTATCCCCCCAAGACAAAGTTTCTCTTTGTAACAGTCCTGGCTGTCCTGGAACTTTCTTTGTAGACCAGGCTAGCCTTGAAATCACTGAGATCTGCCTTCCTCTGCCTCCCAAGTGCTGGGATTAAAGGCGTGCGCCACCACTGTTGGGCTGGTAGTGATGGTTTCAAAGGCAGGAAGGGGTCTGGAGAGCAGCTGAGGCTTGGCAGTGTGAGAGGCCAGAATAGACCACTGGGGAAGGAACAGCCTCAGTAGCAGATGTAACCCCAGGACTGAAAGGGTAAGTTGAGGCTTGGCACCATGAAGAAAGCCTATTAGAGGCTGTTGGTGAACGTGCAGCCCGGTTGCAGCAGAGAACCCAGTGTTTTGGAGATGCCAGTACCACGGAATGACCACCAAGAACAGCAGCAGTGATGCACTGGAGCCCAGCTGGAGCCTGGAAGATGAGCTGTGTGTGCTTCAGACAACGGAGCCGGAGAAGCCACCCAATCTCTGAAGAAGCCCAGAAGATACTGAGTTATTTACAGATAGAGTTTGGTTTGGCTTTGTTCAGTTTGTGACTGTACCCTGATTCTTCCCTCTTGAAGTATGAAAGTATTTAACTTATTTTTGTAGGGACCCACAGTTGGATTTTAAAAGACTGGACATTTTTTTTAACATCATATTGTTATCAATCATTTGGGAATTTCACATCATGAACCCTGGTCATGCTCACTCCTCAGTTCTTCCAGTTCTGCCCTCTAACCCCTGTGAGTCCTCAAAAGAAGAAACAAACAAATGAGCAAACAAACAAAACACAAGTCCAATTTGTGTTGCCCATATCCTCACTGTGGCATGGTCAAACTCCCAGTGGCCAGCTCCCTAAAGAACACCGAATCTGTTCGCCCGCACCCCTCCAGAAGCCATCTCTGCAGATAGCTACACTTCAGCATCCTTATCACAAGCTTTAAGAGTTCTTTTTGATGGCTTTTTGTCTAGGCTGTTATTTGGGGGGGCTTGGGGGTGGAGTGGGGAGTAAGGCTAGGGATTACCACAGAAACCTTCTATGTTTCTCTTTCTCAACTGTGAGTCTTCAGTAGCGTCCTTGCCCTTCACAGTCGGCGGCAACACGGATCGTGAACTTCATGTGGTCTGCCGAGTCAACACGCGTCATGGACCTCAGCATGGAGACTGGGCATTTTAAAGAGAGCGAATTTTTAAATGTTTGAACTCTTAAGGAGAGATGAGGCCCTGAGCCTCCCTGGTGGCTGGCAGGATTCGGTTCCTGTGACTGAGGGCTGAGGGTAAGGAGAGATGAGGCCCTGAGCCTCCCTGGTGGCTGGCAGGATTCGGTTCCTGTGACTGAGGGCTGAGGGTAAGGAGAGATGAGGCCCTGAACCTCTCTGGTGGCTGGTAAGATTCAGTTCCTGTGGTTAGGGCTGAGCGTAAGGAGAGGTGAGGCCCTGAGCTCCCTGGTGGTGGGCAGGATTTGGTTCCTGTGGTTAGGGCCAAGGGTCTCAGTTGTCACTGGCCATAGTCTGTGTGGCCTCCATTCTTACTTCCTGCTGCATGAGCTTCTCAACAGGGCTGCTTGCTTCTTGAGGCTCACAAAGGAGAGAGAATCCTAGAAAGCAGGGTAACCAATCCTGTGTGCTGTGATCCCAGAGGCATTGACCATTTGATCTATTATAAGTGAATCGTTGGTTCTGCTCAAAGCTACTTGACAGTGGCCTGCCGTCTCTGCGAAATGAGGGTCCTTCATTAACTTTTGAGACAAGACCTCATGTAGCCCAGGCTGATCCCAGAATTGGCTGTGCAGCCAAGAATGGCCTTGAACTTCTGATCTCCTGGCTACTGCGATTACAAGTGTACACTGCCATATGTGGTTTATATGCTGCTAGGATTGAACCCAGGGTTTCGTCTATGCCAGGCAAGCCCTCTACCAGCTGACATACCTAGCCCACAGAAGGCTCATGGATAGATGTGCTCTTCAGAAGATCCTGAGAGATAGGGGTTTCTCAAGCCTGTTTGCCTGCTCCCTCCTTCTGGCACTGAGCCCTGGCTCCCTTCCCAGAAGAGCAAACAAGGTTTGGGGCAAGCCTGGTGTACTCCCTGCCCTGGCCCTCACACTGGTGTCACAGGGCAAAAGGTTATTTCTGGTTGGGTGCCTTCCAGATGTATTGTGCTTGGACAGCAACTTGATTTTAAACCACCGCAGTCCCAAGGACTTTAAATGAGACGCTGCATGAAGCCCTGGTGGCAGTTGCAAGCAGGACACTGGTAAGGGGACTGTCCAGCCATGCCGACCGTGGACGATGTCCTGGAGCAGGTTGGGGAGTTCGGCTGGTTCCAGAAGCAAGCCTTCCTGTTGTTGTGTCTGATCTCCGCTTCCATCGCTCCTATCTATGTGGGCATCATCTTCCTGGGGTTCACCCCTGATCATTATTGCCGGAGTCCCGGGGTGGCTGAACTGAGCCAGAGATGTGGCTGGAGCTTGGAAGAGGAGCTGAACTTCACCGTGCTGAGCCTGGGGTCTGCGAACAAGGCCTCCTTCCTCAGCCAGTGCATGCAGTATGAGGAGGACTGGAACCAGAGCACCATTGACTGTGGGGACCCACTGTTCAACCTGACTACCAACAGGAGCCACCTGCCACTGATCCCCTGCCAGCATGGCTGGGTGTACGACACTCCTGGCTCCTCCATCGTCACCGAGGTACTGATGGGCTCTGCAGTTTGGGTAGTGTAGAGATTGAAAGCAAATCCTGAATGGTTCAGTGTCTTTCCGGGGAGGAAGGAGAATCCGACTTCCTGTCTGCTGTATGGTAGCAGGCTCTGCAGTGGCCTCTGTGTTTTTCCCACTGGCTGAGGACCCAAGAGGACACTGAGGCACAGGTGCTATGTGGAGAGCTTGTTTTGTTTTTTTAATTTATATTACATATACCCATGTATGTGGGTATATATGTATATGTGTTTGTCATGATGCGCACTTGTATGTGTGTGTGTGTGTGTGTGTGTGTGTGTGTGTATGCAGGTCAGAAGACAACTTGTAGGCATTCTCTCACCTTGTGGGTCCCAGGGACTAATTCAGGGCATCAGGCTTAGCAGCAGGTACCTTTATCTTCTGAGCATCTCGGGGCTCAGGCATTGCCTTGTCTCCTGTGACTTGCTGACTCATCTCATGAGGGATCTACAGTCTTCACTGTGTCCTGCTTCCCTGTCATTGGTGCTGTGGAATCCCCTCATCTCCTCAGGTGGTGACCATTGGCCCAAGCATTGGCCATTGAGATAATGTGGGAATTGTCTTGGCTTGGGTCAGACTATGTGATACCGGTTCTTATTAGCTGAATTCATCCGGTTTCTCTGAGCCTTGGTTTTACTGTAGGCAAGAAAGATTACAGTAACTCCATCCACTCTGAGGATCAGCTGAGAACCAGGAGGCTGACTGCAAACATAAACACGATTACACTGTTTATGGCCTGGTGTGATGTATCCAAGGGCCTTGACACCATCATTTAGATGACTGTGCTCTTGACTTTGAGGGTCTTTTTTTGTTTTTTGTTTGTTTATTTGTTTGGAGACAGGGTCTCACTACGTAGCCCTGGTTAGCCTGGAACTTCTCTTTGTAGACCAGGCTGACCTTGAACTCACAGAGATCCTCCTGCCTCTGCCTCCCAAGTGTGGGGATTAAAGGTGTGCATCAGCACACCCAGAGAGAGGGTTTAGCAGAAAGTCCTACTAGATGGCTTTCCCCGTTCATGAGTTCTGCTGAGAGTGTGGGCAATTTGTCCCATTGAGAGGCCTCAGGCCCAGGCTCGGAAACTATATTAACAATATCTTGCCTATGACCAGAGCACAGTTTACCTGGACTAAAAGGCCTCAGCATTGTCCTCCTCACCCATACCCTCTTCCCCTCCCCACCAGGACTACTTGGGATCTCGTCTCCCCTTCCTCCCCTTTCCTTAATGGCTTTAATGTCAATCCAGGTAGGGCTGCTCTGGGAGGAGTCCCTTCCCCCTGGCCTGCATAGTGTTCCTCTTGGTCACGTGCAGAATGTCTGCTCAGCACCCTAATTTATGTGCTTAGATATGCATATTGGCCCTCAGGCGTCTCCCAGTGACAGACACCAAGTTAGATGGCTCACCATGCAAGGATGCTCTGCTGGGAAATCTAGGATCCAACCAGTACTGTCTACTTGGTCCCCTTTGCTTGGGCTAAGACTGACTTCCAACGTGCTGTATAAGCAAGAATGATCCTGAACTTCTGGTTCTCCGGTCTCTACCTCCTGATTGCTGGGATTACAGGTGTTTAGATACCACCAAGTAGCTTATACTATCCTGGGACTAGAACCCAGGGCTTTATACATACTAGGCAAATACTCTGCCAACTGAGTTACATTCCCTAGGTCCACCCGAGTTCTTTCTTGGACTCCTTGTCATTCCCCACCTCTGTGAAGCCTAAAACCCTAACTCCATCTTGATTCTGATCCACCCAGCAGGTGGTTCTAGGTAGAACCACTCCTCTATATAGACAGATCCAACTCTTTTATTTGGAATCAGGGTAGGGTTATTATGCTTATCAATAAACACAGAGCGTTCCCAGTTAAAATGTTAGTGATGGAGGCCCAGATGGGAGCCTGGGGGACGTGGCCACCTGGGCTGGGGTGGTGCCCTGCGGTGTCAGGGGCAGAGAATGTTTTAGGAAGAGCTAACTGACCACAGACACAGGGAGGATTCAAACTTGGTGAAGATGTTGAGTTGTGTGGTGGTATTCAGAGGGACAGTGAGGGCCTGGCTTTAGAAGGGAGAGCGCTGTACAGGGCCAAGTTTGAAAGCCAGTGGCCTGCCCATCTGGGAACGTTCAAGGGTAGTAAGAAACGCAGATGTGAGGCCTGGAAAAACAAATAGCTCGTTTGGCAAACGGCCTACTGCGCAATCATGAGGACCACTGTGCAAACCTAGGATTCGAGTCCAGACACCCAGGACTTCTGTCACAAGTCAGTTGTGTAACCCCATATCTCCTGTGAGGGGAAACAGAAGGGTCCCCCAAACCTTGTGGGCCGTCTAACCTGGTGTACACAATGGCAAACCAGTGAAGAGGGCTGGTCAGATGGTTCAGTTGGTAAAGGTCCTGACCTCCAAGCCTGAAGACTTGTGGAACTCATGATGGAAGGAGAGGACCAGCTCCTGCATGTTGTCCTCTGATGTCCATGAACATGTGAGCATCACACGGTAAATATGAAAAGGGAGAGGCCGTGTCTTGAACAAGATGGAAGGGAGGGACCGACACTCAGGTGTCTGACTTCCTCATGTGCATGCCTGCAGTTACACGCTTGTGCACGCTCATTGTACACACACGTGTACACACACATCATACAATATAGACTCATTTTACACACACACACATATAAGATGAAAATTGCTAGAGGAAGATAGTTATACGTTGACCTCTGACGTCTGTGTGCAGGCACACACACACGTGCATTCATATAGACAAATACATGTGCGTATGACATGCACAGGCCCAGACACAAAAGAAAGCTCAGCTGTGGCAGGGCAGGAGGGCGGTGGATCCAAGTCTCTCCCCCTTGCTTCACTACTTATCTCAAAGCAGAGATCAGGAGTTAAGTGTAGTTACTCATTTCTGCAGAACTAATTTTTAACTCATCACTGCCTTGGACATTGGAACTTCCTTTAGGGAGGTAGAGACTGACTGACCTCTGTAGGTCCCACCTCACGGCCTAGGGATTGGGCTCATGAGGCCCCCCGGGGAGGGATAAGCCTTCGCTTTTGTTGCCTGCTCTGTGAGCCCCAGCTTCACCACAGCCCATGCAGTAGGCCAGAGAGAGACATTGGTCCCACCAGCTGTGGGCATTGCGCAATCAGGAGCAGCCTTTGGACGGAGGTGAACCAAGGTGGCCACGCTGGTGCTTCCCAAATTTACTCGCATACGTGACCCACTAAGGTGGAACCGGCAGAGGAAGGGTATTTGCACAAGGCCTTGGGTGACTTTGATGTGGTAAACTGTAAGGATTGTTTTGTACACTGGAAACTTTCCTATCCCTGCTGCAACTCCAGCAGGCATCGTAGATAAACCTGGGAGCCCCCATCCTCTGTCTCCATCCTTACCTTTTGTGCAGGTCCAGGTAGGGGCATAAATGTGCCCAGGGCACAATGGGTAGGTTGAATTTAGGAGTGAGGGGATCTAGACACTGATACTGGACAAGTTTGGGGGAGTGTTGGGCCTCGGTGAGCAGTGGCATTGGAGGGTGAGACTGAATCAAGATGGGCGGGGCTTCCTTGCTATGGCAGCTGTCTGGCTCCACACAGAGTCCCAGGGTAGAGCAGCCGTCTCCATCCTTGAGGAAGGGGACAGAACATCCTACAGCAATGCTAATTTGCAAAGATCAGACGGATGGCTCTGGGTTTGGAGAGGTGTCTCAGTGGTTAAGAGCACTGACTGTTCTTCCAGAGATCCTGAACTCAATTCCCAGCAACCACATGGTGGCTCACAACCACCTATGATGAGATCTGGTGCTGTTTTCTGGCCTGCAGGGATACAGGCAGCACACTGTATACATAATAAATAAGTAAATCTTTAAAAAAAAATGAAACCAACAGTGATGAAGAAGGGATCAAGTTGATGCCTAGGGCCAGAAGTCCCATGGGCCTCCCCTGCCACGTGACTTTAGTGACAGACAGAACACTGTCATGGGACACAGAGCGGAGATACAAAGGCACAGTTGGAAGGATGAAGATATAGAGCTTTGGGTGCCCAGGTGGTGCCCAGGTGGCACCCAGGTGGTGCCCAGGTGGCACCCAGGACTGATCTATCCCAGTGTGTCCTATTGATAGATCACAGAGCAAGAAGAAAACTTGGTGAATTCAGGGCCTCAGAGGGACACACTGAATGCTTGTGTGACACAGGGACCTCATGAAGGTGTGTGTTCCGCTGGGGTAGGTGGAGAGCATCAGGGTAACACTGTTCAGGGGCTTGTGTGACACAGGGACCTCACGAAGGTGTGTGTTCTGCTGGGGTAGGTGGAGAGCGTCAGGGTAACACTGTTCAGGGGCTTGTGTGACACAGGGACCTCATGAAGGTGTGTGTTCCGCTGGGGTAGGTGGAGAGCGTCAGGGTAATACTGTTCAGGGGCTTGTGTGACACAGGGGCCTCACGAAGGAGTGTGTTCTGCTGGGGTAGGTGGAGAGCGTCAGGGTAACACTGTTCAGGGGCTTGTGTGACACGGGACCTCACGAAGGTGTGTGTTCTGCTGGGGTAGGTGGAGAGCATCAGAGTAACATTGTTCAGGGGCTTGTCACCCTTCCAGAGCAGCAGAGAGTGTCTGGGCACAGGTTGGTAAATATCTAACCTGCCATTTCTGTCTGATGTTGAGTGGCAATGTACGATCTCGTGTGTCTTTCAGGAAAATGAGGGGCCGTGTGCAAGAATGCACAGGTCAGTCACACAGCCCTCAGCCAGCTGAGTGCAGTGTCTCTAAGACCCAGTGTTGGATCCTGTGACAGGTCAAGGGTATAGCTCGTATGTGAATTTTAGAATCACCAGATAGCTAATAAGATCTTAGCATGTAACTTAAAATGGTTCATTGTTTACCAATGTCCTACCTCTGGAGCTCATAGCAGCCCTGAGGGACCCAGTGTGAATGCTTCAAACTGGGAAGCCGGGGCCTCCAGTTGCTTTGTGGCTGTCACACCCCATAGTTGCTCCAGGCTGCTGGAGCCATGGCTTCACGGCACAGAGCAGAGCAGAACAGAGGGACCGAGAGTGTGTAGGATGCTCAGAAGGGTTGGTCAACACCAGGGAGGGCAAAGGGCCCCATTCAGCACTAGTGCTCAGCCTCCTGGAGTCAGTCCTGTCTGTGCCACTCAGTTTCGAAAAAAAAGTGACCTGCTGTCCACAGGCTTCGAACCCTGCCCAGAATGTGCCCTGCCATCCCATGCTTTTGGCCAGGAAGGTCCTTCCCGTGCCTTTCTCCCTCCAGGCTCTAACCAGAGGTGCACACCTGTCCTTCCTCTTTCTCCTGCTAAATTCAACCCCTGGCTCTTGACATGTAGGACTGCCCTTCCCTCTCAGACTCTACCCCATGAAGCTGGTTCCTCCACTGTCTCGCCTCTGTCTAGGCCCTTCTGTTCATACAGCTCCTTTGGTAATAGAGTTCAATTAAGTACATGATATCCTCAAGTTCTGAAAAATACGACTATGGTCCCCCCCCCCTTTTTTTTTTGAGACAGGGTCTCATGGAGCCCAGACTGACCTTGAACTTATTATGTAGCTGAGGATAACCTTGCACTCCCCATCCTCTCGCCTCTACCTTCTTGTCTACACTCGCCCACTGCGGGTGTCACAGGCATGGACCACTATGCCTGGCTTTACACTCCTTTGTTACATATCTTTGCACTTGGTTATGTTCCCTTGGGGTGTGTGTGTGTGTGTGTGTGTGTGTGTGTGTGTGTGTGTGCGCGCGCATGCGCACGCACAGGTGCTTCCCAAAGGAGACTAGAGGTTGACATTGTTTTCCTCCAGCACTTCCCATCTTTCTTTGTGAGGTAGGATCTGTCTCTGCAGATAGAGCTCTACATTTTGGCTAGCCTCGCTGCTGAAGACCCTGGGAGCTGCTCATCAACCCTACCCAGCATTACAGCTATAGGGGAATGTTGTACCCAGTGGTTTTTTGGCAGGTTTTCTCTGTGTAGCTCCTGCCTATCCTGGAACTCTTTCTATAGGCTACACTGGCCTTAAACTCTGAGATCTGCCTGCCTCTGCTCCCCCCACACACCGTGATGGGGATTAAAGGCGTGCACCACCAGCACCCATCATGTGTCATCGCTGTGGAATGTGTCACGTGCCCGACTTTTACATGGGTGCTGGGATCTGAACTCCGGTCTTCACCCTTGCACACTCTCCCCACTGAGTCACCTCCCTGGCTCTTGGCTGTGTTTCTGTATGGAGCGCTTTCTTGGCAGCTAAAAACTCCTCTGAGGATGTTTATCTGTTCTTGCTCCTTTTAGAATGACACCTTGTACACATTGGTAGCCAATTACCAATGGCAGTGCCACCAATAGCCATCCTCACAGACACAGAGTCAAGAAGAAGCTGGGCATGACAGTGCTAGACCTATACTGATGCTTCCTGCATCTTGGGAAAGTGTGTTAGATTAGACACCACTGATCCAGCCTTGGGGGATGGGGATCAACTTCTGTGGAGCAGTTTGCTTCATCTGGCGGAGGATGGGAATGGGCCTCTGGCTTTCCCATGATCCTCAGTTTTATTCTCTCTCCACTGCTGCAGTTTAACCTGGTGTGTGGAGATGCCTGGAAGGTAGACCTTTTCCAGTCCTGTGTGAACCTGGGCTTTTTCCTCGGCTCCTTGATTGTGGGTTACTTTGCGGACAGGTATGGAAGGTTGTAACATGAAGGGCCTGCTTGTTGGGGTTTCTGTCCTGCCTGGTTCCCACAGTCGTTAGGTCCCAAAGAATCACACAGAAGGTCTACATAAGTTATAAAACTGATTGGCCCATTAGCTCAGGCTTCATATTAGCTCTTATAACTTATATTAGCCCATTATTCTAGTATATGTTAGCCACATGGCTCAATACCTATTTTGGTGGGGCAGGTCGCATCCTGCTTCTTCGGTGTCTGGGGAGGAATGCGGAAAAAGCTTACTTCTTCCCTGTTCTCATTGCCCACCTCTACTTCTTGTCTGGTTGTCCTGCCTATACTTCCTGCCTGGCTACTGGCCAATCAATGTTTATTTAAAACATAATTGACAGAATATAGACAATTCTCCCGCACCAGAAGGCGGTTCATTTGAGCCAGCCTTTGCAGAGTAGGCAAGGGTAGGGTGTGGTTGGTCAGGATCTATTGTGAATGGTGATGCAGACAAGATGTGACTGCAGGGACTTCAGGCTGCTGGGACTGGCGGCAGAGAAGCCAGGCCATTGTGGAATGGGTGTGCAAATTGGGGAGAGGAGTGGGACTGAGGGAAAAAGAATGTTATTCTTTGAGCAGGGGTGTGGCCACAGATCACTTTGGCTTAAGCAGTCAAGTCTCAGTTGTTTGTGGGCCTGCGCTCAGGCCAGACGTAGGCGTTCTAACTCAGATGCACGGAATTTGGAAATGTATTTAAATGATCTATGAGATACACAAGGAGTCTGTCAGGTCGGCATGTAAGGCATAGGCATGCCTAACCCCAGATTCTTAATTCATCCCTTTGTCTCTGCAGGTTTGGCCGTAAGCTGAGCCTCCTGGCGACCACTCTGGTCACCTCCCTGTCGGGTGTGCTGACAGCTGTGGCCCCAGACTATACGACCATGTTGCTCTTTCGCCTGCTGCAGGGCATGGTCAGCAAGGGCAGCTGGGTGTCTGGCTACACCTTGAGTAATTACACAAGGGCTGGGTGGGGGGAGTTCCTGGGTCCATGAAAGATAGGGGTGAGGAGGTGGGGCACAGCCAGATGAGAGAGAGGAGATTGGGGTTGTTATTGTATAGGTATGAGTTCCTTTTCTCTCAGCAGTGAGTGAATAAGCATAGGAAGAACCAACAACTCCCCTCAAGTCAGGCGACCTTGACCGTACCTGGCCCTACCATTGCCTCATCTCCACGTCCCTTCCCCTCCCCCCTCCCCCGACTGCAAGCATGTTCAGTTCTTGACTCCTTAGCAGAGGGAGCCTTTGTGGACAGAAACTCATGGCTATAGTAACACACAAGACTGAAGTTTTCTTAGTGTCCTTCAAGTCCCCAGGATTTCTTGCTGCCCCCAAACTCAGCCTTTGTACCCCACCTTTCCCACCAACTGGTTCTCCACACAGTCCCTTCGGCACACCTTATAGTGTCCTTGCCCCCAGGACTGTGCTCCTCCAGTATCTGAGAGGCTAAGCTGCCCCCCTCGCTAGTGACTGTCCCATCCACTCACCTGCCACAGATCCTATGTAGGAACAGCACAGCAGCCCCTCTGAGCTCACAGCCCTGACTGACTTACATGTCTGTGTTTGACTTTGTATCTCCCAAATGGAAGGAAAATGCCTTCTGCTTGGGAACAAGAGACTTCATTTGCTTTCCAACCCCAAGAGCAGTACCAGGTTCGCAGAAAGCATACTAAGATATTTGTAGAATTAGGAGTACCAGAGCCCTGGGAGACTCCTAACTCTGCTAGGACTTCCTCTGAGTATTTGGGGACGAGAGGCTTGAGCCTTGAAGCATGTCTGTGTGGCGTGTAAACAGCAAGGAAGAAGGCACAAAGAGGGAGGGGCAGCAAGAGGAAACCTGGTGGACAAACTGGCCCGGTAAACCTGCGGGCTCAGGTGGAGGGGCCCTAGATCAGCGAGAAGCCAGACAACGCTGGGTGGGTCTGGGGGAAGGCGAGGTGGGAAGTGTGAGGATGTGGAAAGAAGCCAGAAGGGTGGTGGGGGGCTATGGCTGGTGAGAAGCAGGAGTCATGAGCAAGCTCCCCTCTAGGTCCCTCTTCTCTGGGAACTGCCTCTGAGCACCGTCTCTTTTCCAGTTACAGAGTTTGTGGGCTCCAGCTACAGAAGAACGACGGCTATCATGTACCAGGTCGCCTTCACAGTGGGCCTTGTGGGACTTGCTGGGGTGGCCTATGCCATTCCGCACTGGCGCTGGCTCCAGCTGGCGGTCTCCTTGCCCATCATCTTCTTCTTGCTGTATTATTGGTAACGCACCCCCTGCCAGACATGAGAGCGGTATCCGCTTGCAGGACTAGGCTCTGGGGGCATGGAGGGCTGTCCTGATCTCTGTTACGACACAAGCCACCTTCCAAGAGGCGCGAGTCCTCGCTATCTGTGACCTGGGATCCTCGCAGTGGGAGCTGCTGTCCTTACAAAGAGCATGTCCAAATTCGCCCTACCCTCAGATAGGCAGGAGAGACACTGCAGGGAAGCCCAGAGGCTGCCTGCTCCTCTTAGAGGAAGTGCACCTTCTGGAAACTCAAGGCAAGCCAACCACAGGGATACTGGCCCCAGGAGTCAGTCCCAGGCCAGTATCAAACAGTGTGTGTTACTTAGAGGCTCTGAGAAACCTTGGAGATAGCCTGCATAAACTAAATAGCACAAGGGAAACGACCGAGTGGATGCTTTACGACCATGAGCTCTGCGTCCTGCAGTCCCCAGAGTCCCTTTAACGACACCGCTTTCCGGCAGGTCGTCTCACTTTCTTGCCCGCTTTCTCTCCTTAGTCTCCTGTCTCTTCTCTTCACTTCCCTTCTCACTTCCACTTCACAATGTCTCCATTACAAAGGTCCTGTCCGCCTCTCATCTCACTACACAGTGGGCACTGGATCTCCGTTGAAAGAACTCAGGAGTGGGTCAATGAACGGAAAGGCCCCGCTGGCAGCCTTCTGTGGGGAGGGCGCGCACTGTGCCATCCCAGAACAGGAACACTCGCAGAGAGGCGCCAATCTTCTTAGCTGTGTGTGCTTTGCTCGTCCAGGGGATAAACACACCCACAGTGGTAGGCTGTATTGTGCAGGGGAGGGGCCGCAGCCGCTGCAGGGAAACCTGGCTCACCCATGCACCATTCGCCAGTTTTACTGAGGACAAATCTTACTTTAGGGGACAATGGGCTAGACTTAGCCTCTACATGGAAGCTGGTACTTGGGTGGGTGGATGGGGCTGGGAGGAGCCTGTCCCCTCCCTGCAGAGTGAAAGGGGTCTTCTGTGAGAAAGAACCCTGGCTCTATGTGGATGTTTAACACGGGCAGACCATCACGTCAGAGTCTCAATCTCTGAGCTGCAACTTCCCAGTCCTGTGGGAAACCACTCAAAGTGGACATGGTGATGCATGCCTGTAATCCCAGCACTCAGGATGGGAGTTGGCATGGAGGATGCTGAGGCAGGAAAATTGCCATGGGGTTCAAGGCCATTCAGGCTACATAGGAAGCACCTAGCTAGCCAGGAATAGATACAAAGACCCTGTCTGTCTCCACATGATCTCAGCTTAAAACTCAGAAGCAACAGTCCCTGATCCAAAACAAAAAAGAGAAAAAAAGAGTGAAAGGAGGAAGAAATAGCATGTTGTCCACCTAATGTTAGGGCAAGTGAAGCTTTTGTTTGGGAAATGGCATGGGCCTTGTTCAGCGGCTCTTATACATATGACCTGTGAAGGAAGGGCTCTGTGAAGCGCTCAGAACAGGGCTCCCAACTTCTAAGAGAGACGGGACCCTACTTCCTAAAAAAGACTGAAGGGGAGGGGGTGCTGCCTGATCCCTTCTGCTTTGGGAATCTTAGCCAGCGGCCCTGAGGAGCAGCGACTGTAGAGATCATGCATGGGCCACATAGCGTGGGCCACGCAGCATGGGCCCCAACTGCGCACCACAGCCTGGGCCTTCCTTGCCAAGCATCTTGGGGAATCACAATCCTAGCGGAGGATCCAGGGCTGCTCTGAGCCATGCCATTGCACCCCTCTTGTCAGAGCCTAAGGTGGGGTGAGTTCTCAGGGAGAGACACTACAGTTATGATCTGTGTCTACAGGTTTGTGCCAGAGTCCCCTCGATGGCTGTTGTCCCAGAAGAGAACCACCCAAGCCATAAGGGTTATGGAGCAAATTGCTCAGAAGAACGGGAAGTTGCCCCCTGCCGACCTGAAGGTACTGGAATTCAGAAGGGGTTTTTCAGTGTGTGGGCTTGGGGCTGCCTCCAGATCTACACGGGAGCCCTCCCTGGGGGACTGTCGTGTGCACATCAGTCAAGTATGGTGAAGACGGACTCTCTCCCAGATGCTCTGTGCTGAGGAGGATGTCTCGGAAAAGCAGAGCCCTTCCTTTGTAGACCTGTTTCGCACTCCCAACATGAGGAAGCACACCTTCATCCTGATGTATCTATGGTGAGTGCTCTTCCTAGACATCTCCCTTCACCCCGGGGTGGGGCTGCTCTGTTGCTGTCCAAATGCTGGGTACCAATCAGCCTGTAGAAAGGGCGTAAGAGGAGCTGACCAGTCGTGGGGTCAGAGCCTTCCAAGGGACCCCTTGGCGCTCTTGTTTTAGTAAGAGGGGGTGAAAGGTCAATGCTAAGGAGGATGAAGAAGCCAGAAGGGTTCCTGAGGCTCCCTCAGTCTCAGTGTCTTCTGTCCTGGGGGCAGCTGAGGCGTCGACTTGGTATGGGGTAGGGGGGGAAGGTTCTGGAAGTATCCTTCCTCACATCTAAAGACCTTGTTACCCACTTCCGGGTCCTCGTGCACCCTTGGTTCATGGATAAGGACCTTGTAGTACATAGATGTACTTGTCCCTGTTCCCGCCGAGGGCAGTTTGCACGCTCCACTTGTTTCCATGAGGAAGGTCACAAGTCAGTTCTCCACACAGGGCTGCTTTGACCTGAATCTGAAGCTACTCCTGCAGTATTCATGCCTGAGCTGCTGTGCTCTGGGCCCCCTCTCTCGCACAGGGCCCGCCCTGCTGCCCGATTTGCTTTTCTATGGCATGCTTTAGTGGAACAGAGAGCTGAGCTAGTCAGGCACGCGGCAGGCCTGTGGTAAATGTTTGCTGAGAGCTGAATGCGTGAGTAGTTCCACAGATCCCTCGGATCCCTTCAGACACCAGGCTCATCATTTTTCCCCTGCCTTGGTGTCCTTCACCTCTCTCACGGGGTTTCTGCACCCAGTCATGGGTGTTACGGCCATCCACATGGCTCTCTGTCTGACTCAGCAGTGTGTCTCCTCCATGTAGCGCCTGTGACCCACTGAAGACAGAACAGTGGCTTGCTCTCCTCTCCCGCAGCACACTACCATCTGCAGCCCAGACACACGCCTCCCAAGAAAGCAGCCGACCGTTCTGTTTTCTCACTCCCATCACCTGGCCCCTCAGCAATCTCTGTATAAATATAGCCCCGAAAGTGCACAAGGTTCTGCTCTTTCTCGTGTGTATGCTCCGTCCTGCAGGGAACACTGCGAGGGGCCATCTCGTACGTGGGACCGCAGCTGGCATCCACCCTGCCCCTCTTAGGTTGTGCTCTGGGAGGCCATCGTGCTTTCTCAAACCGTTCCCATGCCTTCTGCTGCCTTCTGAATTCAACAAGAAAGGAGCTGCGCTCCTTCTTGGGACCTCGTGTGACTCAAACCCAGGACAACTCCTATTACCTCCCTCCCACGCCCTCCCCTTGCTTATTTTAATTTATATGTGTGTGTGTGTGTGTGTGTGTGTTTGTATGTATGTGTCTATGATCCACATGAGATGTCTTTTATGTTCTCCACCTTAGTTTTGGATCTTGCTGATTCAGCTAGACTGCCTGGCCAGCAAGCCTCGGGGATCCTCCTGTTTCTGCCCCACCTCGGAGGTTATAGAATGTGCCGTCACAGTGGCTTGTTATATAGCTTCTGAGGCTTGTACAGCAAGCACTTCACCAACTGAGCCATCTCCCCCAGACCACACCTGCTTCTCTTTATTAAGAATTATTAATATTTGTTATGCTGCCACGTCTTGACTGTGTGGCAGTGAGTGAGTGAGTGCCTGTACCAGTCTGTGACATAGGGAACTTATCAGGAGTATGAGAAACAATATGCCGAGATCATAGACAGCTGGGAATGAGTGAGACGATCTGTGTAAAGAGGCTGGAACAGTCCAACATAGCTGCAGAAAATAAGCACATTTTAGTATATATATGTATATGCAATTCCAGAGTCTGCCAAAAGATGGCAACACTAATTCACTGACTGGTTGACCAGTTAGACAGTTTTTTCCTAAGTGTGACTATGGGCAACTGATAGCCAGTTTTTGCTGGAATAAAACAATAGTTTCTTCTGGATTAAAAATCTTACCATTTCAAAGCCAATTTTGATGCAATGGTGACAGCTTCCAGAATACTATCGTTTCAGCTTAGTGACACAAGGTCCCTCAAGTTCGGACTTGAGTGACTGATTTAATGCCTCCATTGACTATGATATTGGTCCATGATGTTGACATGCTTTCCGTGAATATGGACAGAGTTGGTGTGGAGGGTGAAGAGAGGACTTGAAAACGCCTGATAAAAACAGCACCACGGGACCAGAGACCTGGCTAGTCAAGCCATGGATCCTTGACTCTGGAAGGACGATGCTGATGCTCATGACCATATCCACTGTGTGCCAGGAGCTATACTAGGCTCCTTTGTCTGTTATCTCAGCAAACATTCACAACAGAGCGATATGCTACCTGCCAGCACCATCCCGCTCACAGGCGAGACAACAAGCAAAGAATGGTCACTCGATTTCCCCGGGGGTCACAAAGCTTACAAAGCAACTTCACTTGGTGCCCGCACCTGCTTTCCCCTTTGCAGGCCTGTGGGAGTGCTCGAGGTCACACTGTGTGTGGCTCAGCACAGTTCCAGACACCTGAGCTTGCAGCAAGCAGGAGGATCTGGCCCCAGTCTCTCCTTCCCTCCCTGTTGCAGAGAGCCTGGGGGAAAGTTTAAACAATAGGTATCCTGGGGATGTCTGTAGGACCGTCACATGTGTGGGGACACAAGTTCCTCCCGGGGATCCTGGCAGGACACTCTTCATGCGGTCCCAGTATATCTTGCACCAAGTGATGCGTCCTTCTGTGCAGCTGACCGGGGGCCTTAGCGCTGGCTTTTGACTTGTGGCCTCTTCTTCAGGTTCTCCTGTGCTGTGCTGTACCAGGGCCTCATCATGCACATGGGAGCCACAGGTGGAAACCTCTACCTAGACTTCCTTTACTCTGCTCTGATGGAATTCCCTGCGGCCTTCATCATCCTTGTCACCATTGACCGCGTCGGCCGCATCTACCCTATGGCCCTCTCCAATCTGGTGACGGGGGCAGCCTGCCTCATCATGATCTTCATCCCACATGGTAAGCTGTCTGTTTTAATCACTTCCCAGATAATCGAATCATGGGGATGTGTTGTAACCCCCTGATAAGCTTCTGGAACAAGAACAAAGGCAGGCCATTTCCCTGGCTAGACTTGAAACAATTTTAGATTGAAGTATAGCAAACATATACCAGGCACATTCTAAGTGAATGACTCAATCTGTTAAATATACAGACATCAGGGAGCAGAACCCAGAGGTTGAGGATACTTCCAATACTTAGTGTCCCTTCCAATCCTCACGATCAATACCATTGCCTTGCCAGTCACCGTTCCTGACCTCTGTTGCCACAGAGTAGACCAGGTACATAAATAGAGCCACCTTGAATGTGCTCTTCTGATCCATCCTTTAGACCGACGAGCCTTGTCTATGTTGTCACATGGCTGCATGTACTACATTTTCCTCTTAGCCTTGCTGCTCCTTATAGAGACATCGCGTTGTGTGGTCTCCCTTCCTGATTTTGCTTGCAGTGTTTATCCATTGGGAGCAGAGCTGTGCTACATAGATAGGTAGATAGGAGTCCTTTGTTCCCTTGGGGACAGATCTGTGAGCATACTGTCAGAATACACAGGGACATTGGAGTTTAGCTTCAGCGGAAAGATGGCCGACCACTTTTCTGCTTCCCCCAGCAACATGGGAATGCTCCCACAAGTCTCCAATGGCAGTTGGGTGGGGGTGTGAGCATTGCTTCTTAATTCCTACAACCCGAGACAAACCTGGTGCATAGAAGGTCCAGGCAGAGTTCCTCGAGGCAGTTTTCATTTGAGCATATAAATTGCTCTTCACATTGGAATCAGTAGTAATTCCTAGGAAGGCTGAACTGCTCTCTCCCTGTTTGTTGCTGTGCCCTGCGGTGTGAACCTTGTGAGCCACTTTGGCAGTCTCTCATGCAGGTTGTTACTAGAAAGATCAGAAAGTCTTTGCTCAAGAGTCATACTGGGCAGGACATGAGAGTTGTGTGTATATCTGTCTGTCTGTATTTGTGTATGAGTGTATGTGTCTGTGTGTATTTGTGTGTGTATCTTTGTCTGTCTGGGTTTGTGTGTGTGTATGTATGTGTGTCTTTGTCTATCTGGGTTTGTGTGTGTGTGTATCTGTCTGTATTTGTGTGTGAGAGTATGTGTCTGTGTGTATTTGTGTGTGTGTGTGTCTTTGTCTGTCTGGGTTTGTATATGTGTATGTGTCTGTTTGTATTTGTGTATGTGTGTGTCTTCATCTGTCTGGATTGTGTATGTATGTGTGTGTCTTTGTCTTTCTCTCTGTGTGTGTGTGTGTGTGTGTGTGTGCCTGTGGTACCTCTGGAATAAGACCTCCTCTCATCTCTCTCATTTCCCTATTTCTAGACCCCGAGTGAGATTTTTGAATGGTGTGACTTTGATGCCAGGACGAGGAGTGCAGAGGGCTGAGGCCATCCTTCACTGCCTATCAGAGCTAGGGCATTGCCGGTCCCAGGACCCTTCTGGCCCTCGCGTCTCCATGGGTGCTCTCCTTGGCTCACTGCTATGGCAGTCTTGTCCTCTATCCATCATTTGAGGGTATTCCAGGCACCTGTGGACCCTAGAGCCTCAGCAGAAAACTGAACAGAGAAGGCCTATGCTGTGGGCTAACTCCCAGAGAGGAGAGAAGGAGGAGGAGGGATGGGCAATGGCTCCACTGAGATCAGGAGGTCTTGGCAAACTTAAATGGAGTGGGAAAGGGGTGCTCAGGCAGGGCTATCAAGGATGGGGACTCAAGGGGCAGAGCCTGGCCTTAAAGGAACAGTACACATCTGAATTCTTAGTGTTGGACAGTTAGGGGAACAGGCAGCATGAGGTCTAGCATTAACTGGAGACATCAAATTTATGCCAATAGTGATCTCAAATGCTGAGATCATTGGCCTTGTCAGGAGTGGCTTAGCTACACTACAGTGTACATAGATCCTTGGTACCCCGGACTCAAGTGCAGAGAGACTCATCTGTCCTCTCAGAGCAGGAATGCCATCTTGTCCAGTGACCTTAACTGGTGTGGACCTTCCATGGGTGGAACAGTGGAGCAGAAAACCATGTTGCGGCCACAGGCAAGCAACCTCTGCTCTCTTTGGGAAGTCACCAGTCAAGCCAGTGTCTGGGGACAGGGCCAAGATGACATGTGTGTAAATACAGAGACCTTCTTGGGGAGGGGATCTGGCTCAGAGTCATGGCCACTTGAGCACTGGTGAGAAGCCAGGCCAACAGTGGATGACGGTTAGTGATAATCTCTCTCCCTTCCTTTCTTTGGTTGGAAATGAGGATTAGGTAGATGCTTGCTTCAAGGGCCCTGTTTACACCACACCTCCTGTACCTCAGGTACCAAGTCAGCAACATCTTCCTGTATAATAAGTAAAAGCCAGGTTTTCACTGCTGTGGGCGGACCGGGCATTTGTGTCATACCTAAGTCCCACAGCAGCCCACAGACTGTGTTTGTTCATTCCGTGGGGGCTCAGCAAGCCAAGGCATGGATAAATACATAGCTTATTTCTGTTTGGCATGGCTGGTGGAGCCAGGACAGATCTGAGCAGTTCAATCTTTCTTATGCACGAGGGACCTTCCAGAATATGTCCTTAGCAAGTCCCCAACTCCCCTCACGTGGACATCAGTTTGCTTCTCCAGGTGGAGAGGATTATTTCTTTGGCTCTTCCTGTTTTCCGGGGTCCTAGCCAGCACAGCCCCTTCCCAGTTTCTCCCCTGTCGACTCCAGCTCACGCAGGGAGCATCTTCTCTCTAACCATCCGTTTGCTTCTCCCCAGAGCTGCATTGGTTGACTACCGCCCTGGCTTGTCTGGGCCGTATGGGAGCCACCATTGTGCTGCAGATGGTCTGCCTGGTGAATGCTGAGCTGTACCCTACCTTTGTCAGGTCAGGCCACAAACGGGGGTGGACACTGAGGTCCTGACACTGAGGGGGAGGACGCTGAGGACCTGACTGCCAGGCAGAGAGCAGCATTTCTAAGACATTTCTGGAAGATGCCTCCAAGGCTGGGTCCCTGCAATAGTTCCTTTCTTTGCTGTGAGAAAATACTGGAGCAAAGCAACTTAAGAAAGGAAAGGTTTCCTCTGGCTCACATTTCAAGGGGCTACAGTTCATCATGGCGGTGAAGGTGTGACTGGCTAGAGTGGGAGGCTGGCTGGCCACACTGCCTTGGCAGCCAGGAAGTAGGGAGTAAACAGGAAGTGGGGGCAGACTATAAAACCAAGGCCCACTCTTAGTGACTCAGGTCTTCATCTTTAGAGAAATGGCCGGTGAGGTAATTTTCCTGTGCTTGGGTCATCTCTGTGGTTGTTGGGTTGTGGTTGTTGATATGTCCTGCACACCAGCCCCTCATCCGATACCGGACTTCTATTCTGAAGGCTGTTTTTCCACTCTGGGGATTGCTTTCTTGGTGAACAGAGGTTTTAAGTTTTCACACAGTCCAATATCTTTTTCACTTTTGCTGTCTATGCTTTGGTGTTTTTTTTTTCTTAAAGTCTCATACACACAGAGTGAAAGTGACTTATTCTAGAACACAGTTTGATGAGTTGGGTGATGTATATATGGAGCGTACATATACATTTATGTGTATTACTCTTCAGCTCTTGTCCCAACCAAAATAGAGCATTTTTCCCTAGCCCCCACCAAGTTTCTTCACGCCTCCTCACATCAAATCTCTCGTAGACTCCTTTCTGCCCGCATAGGTTTGCCTCCCCGGGGCCATCAGGAAACAAAACCCCAAACAAATGAGAACAACAATTAACCAAGGGGGAGGGATCTTCTGTGTTAGTACTTTTGAGCCCAGATTCTAAAAATGAAATAGCCAGGACAAACAAGTCTACTGTCGTGGATACCAGACCCAGAGATATGGTCAAAGGTGCTGTGCGTTGCTGTAACATAATGCCTGAAATAGTCAACTTTTTTCTTTTTTTTATTACTTTATAAATAATAGGAATCAAAATTTCCTCTTCCTCCCCTCCTCCCACTTCCCTCCCGCTCCTCCACTCACCCTTCCTCCCTCCCCCTCCAGTCTTAAGAGAGGGCAGGGTGCCCTGCCCTGTGGGAATTCCAAGGCCCTCCCGGCTCCATCCAGGCTCAGGAAGGTGTGCATCCAGATAGACTAGGATCCAAAAAAACCATTACATGCAGTAGAGACAAATCCCAGTGCCATTATCATTGGCTTCTCAGTCAGCCCCCATTGTGAGCCACATTCAGAGAGTCCAGTTTGATCCCATGCTTGTCAGTCCCAGTCTAGCTGGCTTTGGTGAGCTCCCATTAGTTCAGGCACAGGGTCTCAGTGGGTGGACCAACCCCTCATGGTCCTGACTTCCTTGGACGTATTCTCCCTCCTTCTGCTCTTCAACTGGACCTTGGGAGCTGGACTGAGCTCCCACGGTCCAGTTGAATAGTCAACTTTTAAAAGGGAAAGGCCTAGCTTAACTTCTGTTTCCGTCTATGGTCACTTGATCCTGTTGCTGTGGGGTTGGGGCTCAAGATTAAAAAAAAAACACCATGACCAGATTGTGTGGCCAGGAAGCTAAATAGAGAGAATGAAGAGGAAAGACTGGGGTTCCCATGGCCCCCTTAAGGCATACTCCTGCTAACTCAACTTTCTTACATTAGATCCTACCTTCTAAAGGTTCCGTTACCTCATTCATTATAGCATCGCTACCCAGTGACCAACTGTGTAACACCTCCCTAAACAACAGCAATTGCGAGGTGTCTGGTCCTGAGTGCCCTTTTCCGCTGTGCACTGGGTGATGAACATCCACAGAAAGTAGGCAAGGAAGCTGGATGCCCAGAAACAACCTTAAACCTGATGTCTGTGCATACACAGCCATGCGAGTTCCAGTATCTACAGTTAAGTGAGTCAAACGCAGATAGCAAAAGGCATTCGTGGCCACCCATCCTTGTAAACATTCCTGATTCAAAGACGGACTATCTGAAATGCAGAACCGTTACTCCCAGTGGGGTCTGAGCCAAGCGGCTCCCTTTACCTTCTGAGCATTGATGTTGATACCAGGCATCGCCTGCTATGAATCTGGGTCTTCTAAACTTAGTCAACACATAGATATTGTGTTCTCTTCCCTAGTGACAACGCATCATAGCCCAGGGGACAGGAGTGGGGCAGAGCTAGGGTTTAAGTCAGAGAATATGTATGTGCGTTCATCTCCACGGGGCCCTGAGCTGGCCACAAGGAGTGTGAGGGCTGTGCATAGGAGATACAATTACAGAGGAAGGCTGTCTTCTTCTGCTGCTGGAGCAGTGGAAAGCCCATACCTACCTCTGCGCTCATCTGCCACCATTTTTCACACAGCTCTTCCCCAGAGCTGTGGTTTTGAGGGGCTGAGTGCTCACCCTGATCTTGTGTCTTTTCGAGGATGCTGCGAACACCTTGGAGCTAAAACATGAAGCTGACCCGTTGGGTCTCTGTGTCTTTCCAGGAATCTTGCAATGATGGTATGCTCTGCCCTGTGTGACCTGGGTGGGATCTTCACCCCCTTCATGGTGTTCAGGCTGATGGAAGTTTGGCAAGCCTTGCCCCTCATTTTGTTTGGTAAGACGTCATGGGCTGTTCCCTGCTTCAGGCCTGGTGGAGGGCATTATGGGAACACTCAGCAGCTGCTTGTAGAGTGGGCGTCGAGGATGGAGCATGGGATTCAGCTAGCTGTCTCCTGAATCATTCTGCCTTGCATTTCAGGAAATAATAAGATGTAATTCCCATGGAGTAGCCAGAGAGTTCCATTTGTGCCTCCAGAATCTCTCAACCCATCCTGCAGTCTACAGGCTGATGGTTTTTTGATGTAATCTCCTGCTTTCTTGTGCATTTAATTCCTTCTTGTAAATTTATTTTTATTTCATGTACAGTGGTTTGCCTATGTGAGGGTGTCAGTCCCCTGGAACTGGAGTTACTGACAGTTGTGAGCTGCCACGTGGGTGCTGGGAATTGAGCCTGGGTCCTCTGGAAGAGCAGCCAGTTCTCTGTATTGCTGAACCATCTCTCCAGTCCTGTGCATTTAATTTCCAATTGGTATGCACTGAGCACGCCATTGCTAGGGTATGATGGTGATGAGCGATTATCCCTTTCTGAGTGTGGTGGTGCTCAGCTGTCATCCCAGCACACTGGAGACCGAGGGAAGATAACCACAGGACTAAGGACTTGCAAGGGCTGTGTGTGAGACTCTGTTTCCGAGAGCGAGGTGGAGAAGGACATAGGAGTCACATGGGAATCCACATTCTCTTTCCTCTTTGTTGATAAGCTGGACTGGTGAAAGAGGATAGGAATACCTTTTCTCTTCCCCAGCCTAGAGAAGGAGGGGTCTAAGACATGCTCATCCACCAGCAGAAAGTGAAGGGTCTGGTTGTGTGCAGAAAGATGCCATTCCTGGCACAGGGAAATGCAGGGAAAAGTCAAGGGAGGGAGAGAGTTAGAGAATGGATTGGAGTGAGAGAGAGGAAGGGAAGAGAATAAGAAAGAAGGAAGAAAGGAAGGAAGGAAGGAAGGAAGGGATGAGGGAAGGGAAGAGAAAAAGAAGGAAGAAAGGAAGGAAGAAAGGAAGGAAGGGAAGAGGAAAGAGAGGAAGGAAAAATGGAGGGAAGGAAGGAAAGAGTAATAAGTAGGGCACATATAGGTTGGCTATGCTCTCCAGCTCTGCCTCCACCCCATCTCTATACTTATATAACCTATGTATCTGTCACCTCTGTATCTAAACATGCTGTACATATCTATATATGTTTCTATTATCTACCTTTTTTCTTTCTTACATCTTTTATGCATGTATATATCTATCATCTGTCTATTCTATCTATCTATCTATCTATCTATCTATCATCTATCTATCTATCTATCTATCTATCTATCTATCTATCTATCTATCTATCACTTAGCTATCTACCAATGCATATACCCTCTATTTATCTACCATGTATTTATCAGTCACCTATTACTATCTGTCTATCTATAATAACAATTTAAAATAGATATTTACATTTTTCTCAAGGTATTCAACTTCACAAATCCCATGATGCTTAAATATTAGCTACTTCGGAATTTCATACTTCGGTAGAAGCAAAATGAAGGCAAATATTGCCTTGTCTTTCTTTTGTATTTTTTTAAATATCCCATTGCTTCTAGTTCTTTCCTAAATGTTCTTGATAACTTTCGAAGATAAACAGCATGTCTTCCCCACCCTCTCCAGCTCACTGCCCTCATGTAAGGGACATGAATGTGTTCTAACACTCTTCTTTGAACTCTGTTTCATTTGTAGGGGTTTTGGGCCTGACTGCCGGGGCCATGACATTTCTTCTTCCAGAGACCAAGGGTGTGACTTTGCCTGAGACTATCGAAGAAGCAGAGAACCTACGGAAGGGGTGAGGGCTGTGGTGCCAGGAGGGGAGGTGTGGTCTCCTCCTTTATAAAGGGTCGCAGCATCGCTGCTCACTCTACTCTATTCTAAGAGTTGGCGAGAGCTTTTCAGATGCTTGTGGGTTTGGAAAGGTCTCCAGAGCTGCTGGAGATGGGACCCGAACTCAACTGCTGAGCTCTGTGAGGAAAGCAGAAACACAGACCCGGCTTCTTAGTGGTCAGTTGTCCCATGCTGCCTTAGGGGTGGTGGCAATTGTCTCATGCTGATTCAGGGACAGTGGACAGTTGTCCCTTACTGCATCATGAATAGCAGGAAGTTGCTCCAGACTGCATTGGGGCAGTAGTCAGTTGTCCCATACAGCATCAGGACCATGGGGTTCTGTTGCTTCAGGGACAGTGAGTAGCGGTCACGTGTTGGTTGTATCAGAGACAGCCAGCCTTTGCTGGTCATGCCGACTGCCAGAGCAACAAGATCTCTGGTCCACCTGACTTTTGAACATCTGTAGAACTAGTCTCCTGACCTTATTAGAAATTGTTGGGTCAGATTCCTTAATGGCGTTCTGTACAAAGAATGTTAAGTCAGTAATGAGAGGAGGAAAGAAAAAAAAATGCCAGGTAAGGAAGTCTTTCTGGCTCCGTTCATGACTCTGTTGCCTCTGTGCGAGAGAGAGAAAGACCCTGGGAGCCATGGGGACCTGGGCTTAAAATCAGACGTTCTCATATAGTTTGGGGTCTGCCATTGAACCCTTGGCTTCTAATGAGTCCAAGGGCTGCCATGTAAACCCAGGGAGCCGAAGTGGGTTTGTGGGACTGATCTGGGAAACAGAAGAGTCACAAAGGGATCTTGGGAAAAGGCAGAGTCTCTCTCTCTCTCTCTCTCTCTCTCTCTCTCTCTCTCTCTCTCTCACTCTCTCAACTTTTGAGATAGAGTCTCTCTGTGTAGCTCTGGCTGGCCTAGAATTCGCCGTGTAGACCAGACTGTCCTCAAACTCATAGAGATCTCTCTGCCTCTGCCTCCTGAGTGCTGGGATTAAAGGTACACAACCATGCCTAGTGTTTCTTTCCTTTTATCTTTTATTAAGAATTTTTAAAAATATAATCTTTTCTTATTTTACATAGCTATCTCAGTTCCCACTCCCTCCCCCCCCCCTCTTCCCATCCACTCCTCAGAGAGGGTAACGCTTCCCATGGGGAGTCGACAAAATCTGACACTTCACTTTGGGGCAAGACCAAGGCCCTCTCCCTATATCTAGTCTGAACAAGGTTTCCCTTCAAAAAGAATGTGCTCCTTCCTAGATGCCAGTTCAAGCGCTAGGGATAAATGCTGGTCCCACAGAATGTCCAAGCCTCACAACTGGCCCCCACATTCAGTGAGCCTAGTTTCGTCCTATGCAGGTTTCCCTGCTGTCAGTCCAGAGTCAGTGAACTTCCTCTAGCTCAGGTCAGCTGTTTCTGTGGGTATCACTATCATGGTCTTGACCCCTTTGCTCATATTATCACTCCCCCCTCTCTTGGACTGGTCTCCAGTGGCTCAGCCCAGTGCTTCACTGTGGATCTCTGCATCTGCTTCCATCAGTTGCTGGATGAATGATGACAATTAAGGTAGTCATCAGTCTGATTACAGGGGACAGCTTTCCTTTTGACTTAGAAAGTGAGCCCAGGAGTTGGTTTAAGTTCTGCCAGTGGTGCCCCAGAGGCAGGTGCCCTCTGAGCCTTGCTGTGAGACGTTCTGGGGTTCTCAGCACTGGTTAGGGACATCAGTTTAATGCTGTGCACTGTGATGGTGATCTCCTGTTTTTGGTTCCAATAGGCAGAAATGTATAGCTGATGTTCTGTTATCAGACTCCAAACTGATTCTTCATGATTTATTGATAGCACATGGCCATCCTTTAAGATCTTTGTGGGATACTTAGTCCATCCGCTCCTGCCCTGTAGGGGAGGCTGAACACTCCTGCCTGGAGCCCGGCCTTGTGCAGCCTTCCTTCTCTCTGTTCCATACAAAACCAGGACGCAAGCCATTCGCGCTAACCGTTATCTTTGTCTGTTGCTGGCTCTCCTACTCTCTCTGTTTTGAGACAAGGCTGCATTATTTTCTTTTCAACAGAACATCTCATTTTTTATTTGTTGACAATTTCATACACATAATTAATGTATCGTGTTCTGATCCACCCCCAACTGTCTGTCTCAACACTTCCTCTGTGTACTCATAAGGTTTTCCTTTCCCCCTTCATGCTGTCTTCTGCTCTTTTTGTGTTTTGTTTTTGGTACCCCATCTTTTCGAGAGTTTTATCCCTGGGCAGAGGCACTAGGCAATGTATTTCCCCACCTCCTTCCCAGGTTCCAATGACAAACTAAAGTTTGATTCTACCAAAGTTACTCCCAGAATAATGAACTTGTTAGGCTGGGTCAGGGGTTGTAAGTAAGATCATGGGTGACCCCAAAGCAGCAGCACTGGAAAGTCAGTGCTTGCATGGATGGAGGACCTCCTTTTAGGCTGCCTCAGTACAGATGCTCTAGTCCCTCCTTGAGACCCCAAGGACGTGTGTAATTAGGGCAGAACTGCATGCACCCTGCTGGGAGGAGTGACTGGATCCTGAGTAGGGGGTCTGATGGTCCTCCCCAAACTCTCCTCCTCGGAGGGGATGTCAACAGTCTCAGCTGTGATGTTCTTTGCAGATGCAGTTGATGAAGATAGTGGTTGTTCTGCTTGGAGGATAGCACTGTGCCACACCCATTAAATCCCATTAGCGCTGCCTGTTGGAATGTTGGCTGGCCTTGTTGGCTTGATCTTGTTCAGGTCTTGTACGGGTAACCATGGCTGCAGTAAACTCATGGGTGCAATGGCCATGTCATGTCCAGGAGACAGTACTCTTTCATTGCACTCCTCCCCGTCCTCTGCCTTTTATTCTTCCTGTCCCTGCTTATGCCCTACTCCCCAAGTCTCAACGTTGCAAGTTTCTTTATCAAGACTGTTAAGCTGAGCAAGATGGCTCATGACTCTTGTTCCAACACTTGAGACGCTGAGGCAGACTCATCCACACGGTGACTTTGAGGCCAGCATTTCTACACAGTGAGTGACAGGCCAGCAACAGTTATGTCACTAGACCCCATGCCAAGTATCAGACAAGCAAGATGTTGATTGTTTATTCACTAACTGTAGTTTTTGTTTATGGTTGCTACAGGAAATCAAAGGCCAAAGAAAACAAGATTTATCTTCAGGTCCAAACAGGCAAACCTCCAGAAATCTGACAGAGACCCTGTGCCAGGATCTGAGTGGCAGAGAGAAAAGGGGTCTCGCCACTTGGAGAACTCCCAGAAGCCTTTGCCTTCCCATACTCTTCTATGTCGCCAGCTTCCAATGAATACCAACCCTAAAGGGTCTTCTGAAAGTGCATTGTCTGGTTTCTTTCGACTCCCAAAATGCCCTGGTTGTCTCTGGCCTATCTGTCTGTCCTGGTGGGAGTTGCTGGTACTGCTGGTGCCTTAAAGCAGTGGTTCTCAACCTGTGGGTCATGAACCCCAAGAGGCCATCAGAAAATACCTACATTTACATCATAATTTGTAACAGTAGCAAAATTACAGTTATGAAGTAGCAAGGAAAATAATTTTCTGGTTGGGGGGGTCACCACAACACGAGGAACTGTATTAAAGTTTCACAGCCTTAGGGAGGTTGAGAACCACTGCTCGTTTTGAAGGTGCACAGTCTGTAAGCATGGCCACCAAAACAGGCCTCTGCTTTCTGTCCTAACTCTGGCATTCCTCTCTGAAGGAGACACCTTTGCACATGTAAGTATTTACATTGTCAAAGGCAGTTTAACTGGGGATGGCTTGGAAGGCAGTTAGTGTATTAAAATGGCAGTTCCCAGTCTTGTTTAGCACATACGATGAGGACAGACCTGATGCACAGGACTATGACTTTTTGAGAAAGACGTTTCTCCTACCCGTGTTTTTGGAATGGGTTGTTCTGCACTGCTTCTGTTTTTGGTTCTTATTGCTAAGGTCAGAGGACGAATTTATAATATTCAGTATAATATTAAAGTGAGAAGGAGCTCATTTTGTCTGGAAACTAGACTTTGGGTTGTTCACGAGCTATGTGGGCTCATGTCTATTGTAGATAATACCAGCAACATCCAGTAGAGACCAAAGGCAGGAGGCTGGATTAACTGTCTGGAAGGAAAAGAGGTGAGGAGTTAGAATAAAACCTAGGATGATGAGAAAGAACAAGTAATTCTTAAACATGGAGAACTAGGAAACTGCCGGCAAACATACAGACATGGGCCCTATGTACGCCCCTTCTCACCAAGTCGCTCATAGGAAGAAGCGGTGTGTTTCTGCCCCTCCGACATGCAAATCTGGTAGAAAACATGCCTGCTTTTAGAAGGAAATTCAGTACTGCTCAGCAATTTATTGACCTCAATGTGCCAGGTACTCAATGTTGGTCTTCGGAAGAGCTGGATTGTGTTCCCATCTTGAGGCGGTTAGGGGAGGGCATTTATTATCATTATATAAAAAGAAGGGAGTTTCTACCTTATTCCCAAGATGGAAGACTTATCCTAGCTTCTCATGGCCATGGCATGCCCTTACATGTAAGTGCTCATGCATGTTCTCTCATACACATGTGCAGAAGTCAGGATAAGCAATATTCCACGGAGGTTTGTTTTTGTTCCCTTGCTGGGCATGACCACCATTGTCTCCTGATGGTGGCTTCCCAGTACCCTTGGACTGTTGAATTGTTCATGGTCTCTATCATGATTAGGAATGAAAAAATGTGTATTTTTTGCTTATTTACTTGTTTATTTATTTTGAGATAGAGTCTTATGTACAACAAGCTGGCCCTGAACTTGCTGTGTAGTTGAGGGTGACCTTGAACTTCAACTCTAATCTGCCTTCCTTCACTGGGTGGGATTGCAGGCCTGCACCACCATGCTCGGCTTCCTGTAGTTCTGGGGATGGAGCCCAGGGCTTCCTGCATGCTAGGCAAGCTTTCTACCAACAGGGCTACATTCCTAGCCCATGATTGGGCATCTTAAAATTGCTGGCTATGGGGTTGGAGGGATAGCTCCACGGTTTACAGCACTTGTTGCTCTTGCAGAGGACGGAAGATCTGGGTTCAATTCCCGGCACCCACATTGTTTATTACAACCCTCCATGACTCCCGTTCCAGGGGACCCGACACCCTGTCCTGGCCTCTGCAGGCCCCAGGCATGCACATGGTGCATGCACACACATGCAGGCAAAATACTTATATGTATAAAATAAAAAAATCTGTAAAAATTGCTGTCTTTTACTATTTTATTGAAAGAAAAAAATGAAGATTTATAAAGCTTTGGATGGTTATTATAATTTAGGATGTCATTTGGTGGGAGGAAGGCAAGAGACATTAATAGAAAGGTGTTTCACATGAGAGAATTGCAAGGGTGAGGAAAAACTCAGCAGTTAAATGAAGAGGCATCTGTTTCCACACAAGAGCACAGAGCACAGAGCAAACCATAATTTGCTAAAATAGGATTCTAAGAAGGGGTATTGTGACTAGACTTTGGGACAAAAAAAAAATAGAGTCCATGAAAGCAGGCAAGTGTTTTTGCCAAAGAGCATGGCCTCGGAGTTATCCAGGGCAGTGTTAAAAGACAGAGATGCCTAAATAAGGAAGGCTTCAGATGGTCAAGCAGAGACAATTTCAGCATTGCAAAGACAGTAATTATGGTCACTAGGAATAAGTTTGGCTCTATTAAAAGAGCAACAGCACTTACAGAGAACAGAGAATAGAATTCGCGCCAAAGAAAATGCACCCATGAGCTTCTATAACGTTTATAAACTGTTCTATCAATTCAACCCAACTAGCACGGGCCTTGTGCTGGGGGATGAGCACAACTAATAAGCACACACACAGTTAGGAGGTGGAAGAGGAACAATTAAAACCTGGCTAAGGTGGGAATGTCTGGTTTGATCATTTTCTGTCAAACATGTTGGCTACCCAGAACTGTAGTGACCTAGAACCAAGGTGAAAGATTTCAGGGTCTCCTGGTCGAAGCTAACAGGCTGGGAATAGAGACTATGAGCTGCCTGGTCTGCAGGCTGAGATCCTGCAGATCGCGGGCTCTGGAGAGACAGGCCTACTCCTGGCCCCTGCCTTCTCTTTTGAGTCTCTCATTGGCCTGAAGCTTGGCCACCAGTGAGCCCCAGGGATCTATCTGCTAGTTACCACATCCCCAGCCCTGAGATTACAAGTGTGTGCTACTGTGCCTGCTTTTGGTGGCTTCTGAGGATTGAACTCGGGTCCTCATGCTTACAAAGCACGTGTTTTACTGACTGAGCCATCTTTCCAGCCGATGTATTCTTTTTCCTTAGACAAACAGAAATAATCTTTTGATGTTCATTCACTGATTATATAGCCAAACTTGTCAACAAGAAGTCAAAAACCCTTAACCCAGAGGCTGAGAGGGAGGGAAAATGAAGGTGAACTGCCTACAACCAAAGCCAACATGCCTAGGAATACTGTCTGGGATTTGGGAAAGAGTTTCGGACCTCCAGTCTTAAGGAACTGGGAGATACTAGACAACTGTTTCTCTTACAGTTTGGTCACCATGAACCAGCTGTTTTTGTTCAAAGTTGAAGACACAGTCATTGCATCTCTGTCAGGTTGCTCCGTCTTGCCCAGGGGTCCAGACTAAAGGCTGCCCTCTCCAGGTAAAGGACCAGCGAGACCAAGACTGATATCCTCCCACGTGCTTATGTGAGATTGACAGGAGGCCTTGAAACTGTTTTCCTCTGATGTGTTTGCTCCGAGGACAGTTGTGTGACTCCGGCTGCAAATGTAATGGAAGTAGCCTAGCTTTGGCTGAAGCACATACGAGAGCCACCATGACAGTGGGGGCAGAGGCCACGAAAGCCTTGATCATTAGAGAAATTAGCCAGTCAAAGGCAATCAACAAATCAACGATTCATTTAAGAGCACTGGATAGAGATTTCTCAAGAACAGTAGTGGAAAACCTTCTTGCCTCAATCTTTGAGCTTTTACAGAATTAAAAAAATTCAAATTTTTTAATTAAATTAAATTTAATTAAATTAAAAATCATTCCTGTGGGCTTGCAGGAATAGTTTCCTGCTGCCTCTGATCTCGAGTCAAGGCTAAAAATGAAAGAATATTCTGCCTCAGGAAATGTTTTCTCAAAGATTTATCTACTTGTGTTGTGTGCGTATCTGTGTATGTGTATGCTAAGTGTGTAAGTATCTGTGGAGGGCATCAGATCCATTCTTGGGGCTGGAGTGGCAGGCAGTTATGAGCTACCAGATATGGGTGCTGGGAACTGACCGTGGATCTTCTGGAAGAGCAACAGGGCTCTTACCTGCTGATCCATCTCTCCAGTACCAACAAGAAATTTGTATATAGCCTCTGATGCATCATCCAACCATACAGCGGTAACAATTTAGCTCTTATTAGTCAACCATCTATGCCAGGGACAGCTCCATATACTGGGGTGTTAGTCCAAGAACAAGGAAGGCAAGGCCCTGCTCTCATTGAGCTTTAGTTCTTTAAGTTATATCTGGTCTCACTGAACTTAGAGAGAGACAGCAATGTAGTGACCCTGGTCCTCTGGCCCCAGCCAGTTACCCTCAGTTTGCTGCAAGCCCTTATATATCTGTTGCATACACGGGGCTAGAGCAAATCAAACCTTTCTTCAACAGTTGCCCAGGGCTTTCAGGGTCTAGCAGAAGCCCTGATAGGCAGGGCCGGGGTATATATGAACATACAGCTTTCCAGGGTCTGGGTTTACTCATGTCCTATGCTCTGTCACCTCTGCTACTGTAACACTAGGTTCCACTCTAAGCCCAGGTCCTCATCAGTTCTGACTTAAAACCATATAAATTAGGAGCTTAGAAGATGGAGATGTATGTGGCAAATTGGGAAAATGTACTTTCAGGAGGTATGTCCCTGTAAGTTGTCCCTAGTGAACTCATTGACTTATAACAGGCTGCCCTTGTGTGGATTGTTCTTTGGGCTAAATGTGTCATCTTATGTCTCTCATGTGTCCCTGGGACAATCAGACAATAATAAACAGATGCCCAAAGTAATACTGGGGAGAGACAGTCTCTAAAGACGACAGAGATGAGGGAGTATGTGAACGGACCTCCATCCCCACAGCTAACTTATAGTAATTACATAACTATTTCCTTAGTTTTTGGAATAGAGAATATTAATATATTTATGTCACGATTTCTGAATGGATATGGAACCTTTTTTCCTACTAAGGAAGGTTAATAAGAAGAGTCAGTTCATCTGAAAGTCTTCTCTCGGGGACCTTTCTTGCCCCCAGCATATCCAAGAAGATGTTTGTGAAACTATAGAAGAGTCACCTTTCCTGGGGACATTTGAGCAACTATGCACTGT